CTAAGAAAGAACAGAGCACAGTAACTCTTACTGCTGGTATTTATATTGCTCAAAACAAATACCAAAGTTTTATTTTAAGAGTGTCACAGTAAATAAACAAAAAATCCAAAGGATTTCAAACCACATAGGTTCATTATTATAGTGTATGTATAGAGAATGCTTAACACACAGAAGCATGGAATGAGCAGCTGCCTTTCAGAGAAGATGTGACAGTGTGACAAATCAGACAGATATGGTCAAACCTGTCCTGTCAATTCAGTCATATTTTGTTTTAAAGTACACAGGGGAATAATTTCACCACCTAACCTCAGAAAACTAGCTTCCTAAAGTAGGAAACTAGTCATGCTGTGTGATGCATGGAGAGACATTTACACTTTCAGAGGCTGTGCAGAACAAACACATGATTGCAGAATGTTGAATCCCTGGTTTCTCACCTGGGTGACTAAGGGACACTACTCTTACCTTAACAGTCAAGTCTAAAAAAAAGTGATTAGCTTCTCTGAAGCTCTGCAATGCTGAGAAGGATTTTAATGAAGTCATTTGTGATGAAACATTCAGATAACCAGGTCTGAAGGAAACTTTTCTAATGGTAAACTTCATTTAGTATTTGTATGGTCATAAAAATGCAATGCTACAATGGGGGTTATGGTACTATACCAAAGTACAGTTTAAATAGTAGCACTGCTTGCTTCCATTTCTCGTAGAAAAAGGCATCACAAAGCTTCTTCCTTTCTCACTCATCCCAGGTTGGTACCACATGCATGGAAGCCAAACACAAATACAAAAGCACTCTTCATTTTGACAAAATTTTGTCCTTTGTCTTTGTAAAATCAGTGGCTTTAGGCCTTTTATAAATGATTGGTGGCTTCTGGGCAGATATTGGAAATTAAAGTTGAGAAGAAATAAACCTTCTCATTACCATCAGCAGAATTTAATCTGACTAGGTGGGATTTTCCATTTATGTTGGCAAACAGAAGCATATTTGGATTATTTATTCCGGTAACCTTAGCTAGCCTGCAGAACTGCAACATTACTCTTTTGATTAGCTCCATGCAAAAAGATCTTGCGAGGTGGAAAGATCTCCTACTCTTTCTATATTTGGCAGGACCAACTCTATAAAAATGTCCATTTTGCCACGCCTCTGATACCCCACTGCAGCTGCTTCCTCTCCTCATCCCACAGTGAGATATTAAAAAGTCTGCATGGAACTTTCTCCAAGTTTATCTGGATGTACAAAAAAGCCAAGAATGCGCTTGTCAAGGTTACAAATATCTAGGGAGCTAAGACAGTTTTTAGTCTAACTAGCTCTTCAAAATATAGTAAAGGCCTGCCAGCTGAAAATTATTAACTGCTGGCTGAGCTGGGATTGTGAGTGCACTCTATAGGAGATGGAGCAGGAATTATATGTACCTATATTTATGGAATGCTTACAGTAACATAATAGAGCCATCCTACCACCAGATGTGCTTATAATGCTCTCAAAGTGCACTCTTAATATCTAGGCAATTGAGGCACTTATTTCATTTCATCCTCCTGTCTTGTAACTCGGGTTTCCTTTCAAGGGAGTGATAGGATTACTTCCTTCTCCTGATCCATATGTTGTGAGGGGTTTTTTTTCATTATTATTTTGTGAAATGGCCTTCCATGAGCCATTTATGTTTGAACTGATCTTGTAAGTTATTTCAAAAGTCAAATGGAGCCTTACTTTGATGACTGTAGAAAACTTTAATACCCTTATACAGCTTTTTAAATATGGTCAGACATGTTTTTTTCTACAGCTTGTTCAAATGACAGAAAGGTAATTATGAAGTGCTAGTTGGTCAGTGGCTCTTTTAAGCTGTGATGTATGGTTGAAATTATCACTATAGTCGAGAGGAAGATAGAGCTTTCTTAAGATAATAGGCACTGTGATTTATCTCACATCTTGGGAAATAACTGAAAGTTATAACTTTAGGATGACCCAACAATACTTTTCCCAGATTATTTTTTAGTTTGCTGTCTCTGAATAATATGCTTGTAGTTTTCTAAAATCCTAGTGAAAACAATAATGCTAAACAAATAGCACCCCCATCAGGGGTTAGGTCTGCTCTAAAACCTATTTTCTGAGCAGATATGTTAGATCATCCAATACCCACTTCTAGTTTTTTGTCACTGTATTATCTGAAGCAAGTTTCAATTCTCTGTGTGCAAATTCAGTGTTTCATGAGATATCAAGAAAGCTTTCAACACAAGGAGGTCTATAGCCTGTGATGAGATCAAGGCTATCACTTGTGCATTCATTTATTTCAAAGAAAGGAACTACTACTGCTTTCAAACAAAGGACTATAAAGTACCATTTTCTGCAGTGCAACTTCGGGTGGAAAATAGTAAAGGAAAACCATTCCACAAATAGCAATTTTCTAAACATGCTACCTCACTGGAAAGGCCAGGAGGGTAGGGAAAGGGAGTGTGCAAGGCTTTAATTCTATCAATATATTTTAGTTCATATTGTTGCACTTGTTTAAGGTTGGTATCAAATATGATCTATTGGGACAGCTAGTTAAAAAAAGGTAGTAACAGTAGTAAGTATGCAAATAAGTGTTGTTATCTGAATAATAATAATTCATTCTGGTAATGATGGAAAGATAGGTCCTGAATCCAAGTTCACTCTCTTAACTGGAGAGAAAAGAAATATTAGTGTCACACCACACTCACCCTGAAGTACTTTGTAAGTCACTGAAGGAATACTGATGTAAAACAAGCATGCAAGAAGAGTCAATTCTTTTGATTTACAGCATTCAGCTTCTGAAGTCTGCCATATACCATGGAAACCCACACCCAGATCCCTGCCTATTTACACCATTTTTCCATCAAAGCAATATAGTTGATTTAAAAGAGACATTCCTAGTTTACAACATTACTTGGCTTAGTATAATTCAGAAACTGAAAAATATGTCCAGAATATCCTTTCCATTTTCTTTTTGCTTTTTTTCTTGTCTTCTTCTTCTCTCAGTCCATTTTACTGTGGCAAGATACAGAACTGGATTCTATCAAACTAAAAATCTTAATGCTTTCCTTTTCCTAAGCAAGGGTGGTGTTAAGCAGGAAGGCAGGAAGGAAGGCAGGAAAACAGGAAGGAAGGGAGTTATCTCTAGCAGCTCAGTTGTCACTCTGTGATAATCTGGGGAAGCAGAGAAGAATTACATTATGTACTTAGATAGACTAATGACAATTCTATAGAAATTATCACAATTATCAGCAGAATGCTCAAAACTGATATTTTGTGACAGCTAGAAAATAGCGAGTACTCTCATGACTTAAATGAATTCTCTGCACTCACGTAACCAGGCTGCCTTTTCTCTTCCAGAGACAATATTCAATATTTAATTGTCACTTTTCAGTATGTCAAATGTTTTTAGAGTAAATATTCCTTTAGGATAGTGAAATGTCTCTTCATTTAGTTGTACTACTCAACGTGATCTTTGAAGAAAAGACTGTAGAATTTATTAGGGAGAACAGTTAAATTTGAGGCCAAATTCATCATTATAAAATATGGGGATATATAGTCTGAATTCAGCTCACTGGTTCCCATTAAAGTGCCCAGCAAATTTTTTTTAAGTTTATTTCTTATGTTTCAGTTTCACACTGACTCTACCTTTGTCACTGAGAGAGAATTCACTCCTCGTCCCCTCAGCTGTCAAAATCAGGTGTGAAAATTAATTTATTTTTCTAAGATTACCTTAGCCAGTGAAATAAAAAAGGCAAAATTTTATCCATTATTTGATACAAAATGGTGTGCTTCACAAATATAACAACCATATTTAAGTAACTGAAAATTACCCCAGTGGAACCTGGGAAATGTGGTCAAGTCAAACAAGAAATTGCTGTATTCTTCTTGACAAGACTGAAGGGACAGCCACTCTCTACAAGCTTTCAAAGAAAAAAACTGTGGCATTTGCTTATATGAGTAAATGTGTCTTCATGGCTGGATTTTTGCTGATATATCTACTTATAGCAGGTGTTAGTGAAACTCAAGAAAAGGGCAAACCTTCTTACATGTAGAGTTCACAAATCATCATGCTATTTTGATATACCTTCAAGTATCTTACTGATTGCGTCTAAAGCAATCCCTCAATCTAATATTGATTTCTGAAGAAAGAATGACTGTCCATCAGTGGGCAAAAAGCTTTCTATTTTAATAATAAAACTGTAGGTAGTATTTAATCAGATTTGGTGTACTTGAAGCCAGTATTCTAAACTTCTTTACTAAAACATATTTTTTAAATATGTATGCTGATGTAATTATTATTTGAAATGTGACTTCACTACCTATAGTGTCTAGAGATGAGATCCTGAAACACTTCAGTACATGCGTAATGTGGATATTTCCATTAGAAATCAATGTGACAACATGCATGATGAAATGTAAGCACATGCAGAAGTGTTTCCCGGACCAGGGTTTGGTGAGCAGGAAACCAACAACAGTGATAAGAAATTCCATCATCTCCTTTGCTTTCACAGAGCAGGGTAAGATAAAGTGATTTAAAATGCCTTTATTCCAGTTTTGCTGGTGTTCCCATTCTTGCTGCCATCTGGAAACAGGATGTTCTGAAACTCTGGGTAAATGGCAACTGCATATATTTAATAGACTGAACAAAGATGCTCGTATTTGTTGCATGCAGACAAATCAACTGTTTCTGTATATAGTATGTTGGACTTACCACCTCCTCAGAGACACCAGTGTGGACAGAGTAGAAAGATGTGCCCCGGTCTAACAGATATATTACTCGTGCTTTTACCTTCTATCTCTGCCTAATAGATGAAACTAATCTTGTCAGTGGTGCATATAAAAATATAAATTACTTGCATAGCAGAGAGATAATAAATGTATATAATTTTCTGAAAACATTGATATATCAACATAACTGTTAGTACTACAAACAAGAGCTCTACTGTGAGGAACTACTAACCACTGGTACATATTGAGCGAGAATTTACAGTCCATTATTTTGCATCAATACCTGTCTTTCAGTGAGGTCAAGGTTTACTGCTATCTCATATCGTCTCAGCCTGGTCAAATAGTTATGATGAGCAAATTCTGCTTCTAGCTCTCTGATTTGCTCCTTGGTGAAAGCTGTCCTTTCCTTCCTGGGTTTACTGTTGACCTCTGTCTTGTAGTTTCCTTCTTGGGAATCTGAAAAAAAAAGTGCAAAAATGGTTGTAACAACAAGTGTACCGCTAAATAGGAAACAAGACTGAAGATAACAACAAGCTAAAGTTAAATTCTTCAAACTTTCTTCTCTCAGAAACACACCCTTGCTTTCATTCATATGGATTCTTCTCTGTAAATCAGGAAAGCAGCAGTAATCTGGCAGACATGAGCTGCTGCTTCCATTCACACACGTCAAACTTTAGCTTAAAATCTTGCAGTGTTTAATTTTCTAACAATTCTCTGTAGAATTCGTGCAAAGCTGCAATTGCTTCCCACTTCTGGCAACTCTCAGTGCATCCAACCAGTACAGGATGTGTATCATTTGATTAGTGTTTTAATGAGTAATACTTCAAGAATCTCTCTCCTATCACTTTGCTAATACCTTAAGCCAAAGCTCTGTTTTAAAGCATACACTTTACGGTTTAGTCCAATAAAACTTTCAGGGAAAGCTAACAGACAAAGCATAGGAAATTGAACACACGTCAAAAAGAAACTGGTGAGCATGTCCATGGGATCTTCTCCTGCTTCTGCTATGGTACAGGCTAAGAACTTTTTGCCACTGCTAGTATCAGTATAGGAAATTTACTACCACTTAAGCTACCTAATCTGAGGAGCTCTGCTGAAAGTTTCATTATCACCCTCACGATTCCTTTTACTCTCAGAAACAGGTACATTTGGTCCTAGCCCAAGCTACTGAACTCACTAACTCAGTGACAGCCATTCTGTTGCTGTCAGTGAAACCTGTTTAAATAAATGAAAAGAGTTCAAACTGGAAAAAAAAAAGGAGAGAGTGGAAGTAAAAAAAAAAAAGGGGGGGAAGCAAAAAAAAAAAAAAAGGACCAGACATTTGTAAGTCTGGGTATGATACAATACCTATAAATCCAAAATTAGCAGGAGAGCAGTAGGAGTATCATTAGTCAAATTCTGGCCTCACAAACCATCTTAAAAATGTCACAGATTAATTCACACTTCGGCTGCTGATTTAAATAGAAACGTGCATCAACATCCAAATGACCTGGCCCGCAAGAAATCCCTCCCTGGGACTCTGTGTCAGATGAATCATCGGCATGCCTGAGACTGTCCAACTGGCTAGTGAGTCTGGTTTCAAATCTCCATTTTATAAAGGTGTAAAAATGTTTTCACTTTTTGTCAGTCACTCTGTTGCTTGGAAGGAAACTTTGGTGTTGATTTTTTTTTTAATGAGAACTGTTGATGCTTGACTCAATGCTACAGTCATTAATTTAAAATGTTTTAAAGCTAATGGCTTCAGGTTACCAAACCTCTTTACTTTTGCTGACATGGAACACAAAACTTTTCTTCAAATGTGAAGTCTACTGCTGGCTGTATGACTGAAGGTATCCACTGAATTGCTGAGTGGATCTGGGAGCTGTTTGGCCAGAACTGGAGTAGGGATTTCCTAGGATGGGACCCCATTAGATGGCAGACCCATTGACTACAGTGGAAGCCAAGGTTTATTATCCAAACTCTACACAGAAAAGTTGACAGATCAAACCCATCTGAAACCTAGAAATTCACATTTCTTCCTTTATACTAGCTGGCAGACTAGAGTCACTGTAATTTCTCTCCACATTTTCCTCTTGCAGGAACATGCACATTGCTTTTATTCCTTCAAATTTTCTTATCTTACCACCTCATTATAAGACCCAAATACTATGTAGATCACTTGTATATCAACATTCCAATGAATCAATGAAGAGAGATACCTATATCATTACTCTTAGTATCTGGGGTTACCATTCTTATACCACGAAATGTGTTTTCTATATGTTTGAAAGCAGGCGGTGTCCGTAGTCCTTATCTGCAGCATGACACAGAAATGTATTTTATGCAAGTCATTGTTAAAGTCCTCTTGTAACTGTCTTGGTCACCCTATGCCTGTGTGAGGCCATGAGCCAAGAAGCCTTCCCATGTCAGTACTTGCTGTAAGTAAGACCCATGGCTCACTGGTTTCCAAACTATAGGTAGTGATCTTAAATAAAAGTAATGTACCTATAGATGACCCTGATACCGTGTTAAAAATTACATACTAGAAATGAAGACATAAGACTGGATACGATACAGGAAGAGGAGTCATGAGTGTAAAACCGTAGTTTTACACTAAGCTACAATAGCTTGTGCATATTCAAAGGAAAAAACTTCAGGAGTATCTATCCAAACATCTCCCAGGAGGTTATTGACCTCTGTAAATGACTGAGACTTGTAACATGAGCAATTTTTCTGCAGGATGGTTCCATGAGGAAAACAGATTTTCTGTACAGTCAGTAAAACATTATATTTTTTCATAACAGTCAGAGCAAATGATTCCCAATTTACAAGTGTGATTAGCATCTAAATTACAGGTTCTTGAGATACTAGAAAGGGAAGGAATACTAGGATAAGGAAAGGGAAATATAACAGCATGAGTAGCATATGTCCTTCATCTTTGCCAACACAGAGGATTCAGAACTGCTATCAATTAGCCCACACAGATCCTGTGCAAATATAAGCATTCTTGGACAATTGGTCATTTAGACATTTCTGCCATTGTTCAAAACTACCTTCAAGTCAATGCTGGATTCTAAGTGCCTGACAGCCACAGTTTTGTTAGTAGTAAGATTCCAGACTGATGCAGTGGCAAAGTTGCAGGTTTTTATTTATTTTTTGAGAATATCATTAAATGAATTTGTAATAGTTGAGATATTCTGAAAAAAGAAAAAAAACACAAACACTGCTAAAAGCAGCAGTTAGAGAAATAGGCAGAAACCTGGGACAGGTCCACAGAAAGCTCACTCCCTCTCAATACTGAAGGTAATGCAATAGAGCAACTGGAATCCTAGGAAATCTGTTTCAAAGATATAGCCAGCAAGACAATGGTTTTTTGTTCAATGCATTTGAGATATTGAAAATATATCTAAAAGGAGATTTAGATGGATACCAGTTGGGTGAACACGAGTTATGAACTCTTGTTGTCATCTGACTTTCTCTCTACAGTATTGCTGTGGTTCACATACAGGTTGCCTTTTAATGTCCTATTCATGTCGTACTGCTTGGAAGAGTAGTTTTAGAATTTTTGGTTGTTTTAATTTCCAAAGCGATAAATTCAGGTTTACTGATTGTTTCTTTTTAACAGTCTCCACAGAGCCAAGATTGGGAACTCCCATCTCTTTCTGACCTTCAGGACTCTGTTCATATCACTGGACTGGCTTCTCTTTGGTGGAAAATGGGTGGGAGACTTGGAAGAGATCCTTGGCAGAACTCATGTCAGCTTACATCTGTTTTGCAGCTGTTGCAACTAAGACAAGAAAAAGGTCCCAAGAACCTTAGTTTTCTTCTACTGGCTACATCTTATGCCAAGTAGTAGGTGTAGAGGCAGAGAACAAAGCGTGGGGGGATCTAAGTTAGACTACTTTCCTCTCAAAAGGCACACGTAAAATATATACAGATGGTACAAACCACTTGATGAAAAATACAGTAATCTATATTGTCTGTCTTCCGCCTTCCCCCAGACAAATTCTGGCACACTTTCAGAACATGTAGCCTACATGCAGGTATTTGTATCTTATCAGTCTCTCCTTTGGAAACCTTTGTTCTTTGGATGTCAAGTAATGTAGGCAGTTAAACACTGATTTGAGGGATGTGGATCATACCTCTTTCTTAGAACTGTTTTTATCACTTTTCAAAAACTTGAGGCAGCATCTTTAATATCCCTTACTAAATGCTTGTTGGTAACTGATGTAGAGGGTACCATTTGGAAAAACATTCAAAGTTATAAATGGCTGTTCTACAAGTCTTTGAAAGACTCAGAGTTTTCTTGAGTTTAATAACAGCTCAAAATTTATTACAAAAAAAAATACTAATCACACTATTCTGCAATCTCAAAAGTTACTGCTACTTTACTCTAAGGAAAGGATTGTTCTAAATCCCAACATTTGTATTGTCCCACCAGAGTTCCTATTCCTTCTCTCTACATCAATAGATGAAGCATGCCAAGCAAACACAGGATCTAACTCCTATGTGCAGAATATGAAAAGTGATCATTGTGGTATTTTTCCTTGTCACGTATGCCTAGGAAAAAAAAGACAGGTCACTGAACATGGAAAAGAGACTGGTTGGGATATCCATGGTATAAATATCTGCTACTAACCAGGTAGGTCATAATCAAAGGCAAAATGCGCAAGAAGCACTTGCTACTTTTGTTGGATTAGTTCAATAGCTGACATACCTTTATTTCTCAGACAGAAATGAACATTCAGTTAATACCTGCAATGTAAAATCCCAGAAAAAAATTTTCAAAAATAAGTCAGATTGCTAGTGTTCTACTGGCAGTTACAGATGGTTTTCAGAGCCTGACATCCATATTGGGAGTGAGTAGTGACAGTAACCACTAATAATTTGTGACAAAAAGGCCATCATAATTTCACCCCTAGAATTGTTGTTCAATATTCAGGTTTTACACTTTCACTAACAGCATGCAATTCTTATTCTCAAAAACCCCTACATGAGCAAACTATTGCCCTGTAAATTTATAGTGAAGTTGGATAAATTAAATGTTCTTAATTGCATACCTTCCTATAAATGATGTTGGAGTGTTTGCAGAGAACTACAACACAGATATTATTATATATACTTCAAAATGAAGCAATCTGTACAAAGTAATCAATGCAAAAATCTTGTTACTTCTGAGTAGTTTGTGTGAAAGAATATTTCTTTCAAACTTAAACCCTCTATGTTTGTTTGAATCACTAAAATGTACACAAAAGTTTCTAAATACTGATAGGACACAAGGATGATACAGGATTCAATGCAAATGCTTGCTTGTTGGTTGTTTTTTTCTTTGCAGATATTAGCAATATGAACTTAGGGAGAAGTATGTTAGTATCAGGACAATAATCTAGCAAAATATCACTAACCTGAAATACACATATGAAGAAAATATGCAACTCCTTGTTATTACAGTTGGAAAGGAATATTATAGAGAGGAC